CGTCGCTTTGAGCTTTTGATGCGTACCCTATCCTCCACTGGCATGTTCAGTCTTGTCTCAGGTATTATTTTTTGTTATTTTCACTTTACGATGTAATTAAATGGGCAAAAAATGCCTAAAAAATATCACAAACATCACAACCTTAGAAAAGCTGCCATGAAATCATGCACTTACAATCCTAAAAAAGCTGTGTCTTAAAAACAGAAATGAATGTTATGATCAATGAAAAAATAAATATATATTGAAAAATGTCTGAACATCTGGAAATAAAACCACTTTTAGATATTTCTATTCAGTGCTTCACTAAGTTTGAGAGTTCAGATATATATATATATATAATATATTATATATATATCATATATAACAAATATAGATAGATATATAAATATATGAGATGTGATTTATATGAAGTCTTCTGGGTTTGTTGATGTTGATTTTTTATTGGTGTGTGTGTGTGTGAGTGGAACATCCTAAACATTGCAGGTCAGACCATCTACAAGCAGGGGTGCCCAAATTTCTTCTCAGTGGAGGACCAAAAATGGCCCAAATTACGGGCAAAATTAGACATTCATATTGCAGTGCATTAAATTTAAATATGCCTATGATACAAAGTAATTTGCAAAGTCAACACTGCTGTTATTGAAAGTAGAAAAATAATAATGCCTCACAACATGCCTCTATGAGACCAAAAATATTATACTCTCCACTGCCTTGAACAATCATTAAGTATAAGTAATAGAAATATAATGTACAACAGCTTTAATCTTTTTTTTTCTTTTAGCGACCACAGCCGGGCTCCGTCTGTCCTGATACCTGATAGTTTTTCCCACTTCAAGCTGTTCCTATCCATAACTCGCTGCACTGCCATTAAAAATCTTGTGCCTTTGTTGTCCCTTTCAGAGTTCCTGACTCACTTCCAAAGTCCTCATTCACTCCTCAGAAAGACTAAACAGCTGAGGCTGAGTGCGATATATCGGTGCTTTCGTCACATGCGATGGAAGAAGGCAGAACATCGAGCTGCTCTCTGGACAATTTGGCCTCCAATGTCTTCGGCCATATCCTCAACCACGGCAGGTGACCAGTGTTCCGTGACAAACGAAATGTGGGAAAAAGCCCGTGTCTGATTTGGGCACACGGTGTCAGCAGCAAACTGTCAGACATTGTTTACAAAATCACCCACCGCGAAAGGTCGTCCGCTTCGGACAATGAGGGAGCAAATATGATAAGTTGCCCGAGTGGCATTTTCCTGTTCAGTTGAGGGCTGGAGAAGGAGTGCGTTGTTGGAAGTTAGCTTTGCTAACAGGTCTCCCAGCTTCACCTTTCTCTCCTCTCAGGTGTATTTGGAGAACTGATGGGAATGCCACGTTTCGTGATGGCGACGAATATTGTTGTTCTTTTCAAAACACTGACTCTCTGCTTTACAAATCAAACATATTGCCACGGAATCAGTCTCTGTGTTTTTTTAAACTTTCTTCTTATCACAGTGCCACTGCTTCCCGCGCTCCATCACTGTTATTTTACAGTAAGTCACGACTTTTACTGTACACGCCTCAGAAATAAAACTGAGGTCCAGACATGGTCCATGCTCACCAGAGGGGGCGGTACTCGATAAGAGGGCGCTCAGTACCACAGACTGAAATATATTAACATATATAATCACACACATCAGTAACATGTTCACCTGTCTGACAGCAGCGTCCAGCAGGTCGACCAGCAGAGGACTGGTGTAGGCCGACAGGACATCATCACCTGCAGACAGACAGACAGACAGACACACGGACACACAGACACACAAACAGACACACAGACAGACAGACAGACAGACAGACAGACTGTTTATTTGGTCCATTACAGAAGGTCTCCTGTGATTGGCTGAGAGCTGTATGTTACCCATGATAGCCTGGTCCAGACTGAAGTAGGCTACAGCCTTCAGGTGGAGCATGGACAGGTAACCCTGGCAAACAGAGGTCAAAGGTTACAGTATTACTATGGCAACAACAAGGTCTTTCTAGCTATGTTTTTAGGGAGGTGGTAAGCTGATTTTTATTTGATTTTCATAATTGAATCAAGAGTAAAAAAAAGCTGCAAATTTTTTTATGTCATGGATTCAAGGTGAGCACTTTGCATTCTTCTTTGTTTGAAAGAAAAACAATTGTTTTTCCTGTGTTCAGTTGTAGAAACATCCACTACTTTATATGTATGAGATATGGACAGAATGCAGAAAATTATTATTTTATTTTAATATGATATAAAGATCTGGATACAGATCCATAAACTTGTATACCATTGGATCTTTGTGGATACAGGTCTTTTTTGTCCAGTCTAAGGGACTGTAGTAATGTGGTGACACTTTAATGTAGAGTTGTGTGTCATCTGCATAATGGTGGCAGGAGATGTTATAATATTCCCTAGTT